CCTAAGATTTGAAAAAGAGAAACCAATCGTTGAGGTATTGTCAAAAGTCTAACACTGCTTCTTGATGCCAAACTCGGCCTACGGATTCTAAACTCGACCTAACGCATTGAAACGCCAATAAAATCACTTCGGCCTATCGGATGAAGATAAAAATTGATTCTGTCGGAGCGCTTCTTTTGTTTTTGGGAATAATGGGTGCAAACCTTCATATCACACGTTCTCATTGACTTCGTTCCGTAGTTTATTAACTAAAGTATCGTACCAAACGCACAATTGACTTGTTAACTCTGAAATCATGGATTTATTTGAAGTTTTCTCCTCGATAGGCCCAAAATGGGCGATTAGGCCGAAGTAGTGCTCTACCCTATCATTTTGTAGGATTTTTATTTAGCTTGCACAGTAGTACTGTCAACCTCATCTACCATCTTTTTCCACCACTTCTCCAAATCAGATGGTGTTTTGATTGTTTTGCCACATTTCTTCAATTTGCGCCAAAATTTTTCTTTAGGACGAAAATCTGGACAATTTGGTGGATTGATACTTTTCTCAATAAAATAGACATTATTCTGCTTATACCATTCTATGACATCGCGGCTGTAATGGCAGCTAGCTATGTCAGGCCAGAACTTTACGGGACCTTCGTGTGATTGAATGAACGGCAAAATTATGTTCTGGAGACACTCCTCCTTGTAAAGTCGCTCCAGTAATGAAAACCTTTGTTTTCTTTCCGCAACTGCAGATGCCTTGCCAAATCATCAACTTTATCTGCAAAGACAAATTTGAATTTATCCGGAACATCCCCCTTACGGTTTAGCAAAGTAAAATTTTTGGCCCGGGATTTGCCAAAGTCCATTTTTACGTGAGTTTCATCATCCATCAAAATACATCCGTTATACTCAGGCCGGTGACAAGGTCTATACTAACAGCTATGTTTGACAGTAGGCAGCATGTCCGGGGCCCAAATCGTTTGTTTTGCTATACTGGGCCCGCTGTCACCGTATATAATGTTGCCTACGAGCCTGCCACCGGGCGGGTTATACTTGGTCAGAACGTGCTCGTACAGCTTCCTTGCACGATTTTTGGTAACCAGGTTTTGTTTCAGCGTCCTGTTAGGATGTTTGCTGGCATGGTATGACCGGAAACCTTCTCGCATACATATTCACCAAACTGTACTGTGTGCCGCACTGAACCTTTTCGCCAAATCACGACCGGAGATCCCAGGATTCTTTTGGACTGCCCTTATGACCTTCACTCGTAGTTTTCGGTCATATGTTCCACTTCTAGGTTTGTTTTGTTCTGCACGATCCAAACAGGTTTCCCGGTAACGTTTAAGCACGGTATTTGCAGTCGATTTTGGAAATTTGAGAGCCTTTCCAATCATTCATCTTGACCACGTTTGATTTTGCACGTGAGTGTGCAGAATTTTTTCACGTCTGTCACGTTCCATCGTCGATAATTTTTGAACTAGTGTATGAATCCTGATGAAATTTTCACTACTAAATAAACAATCCTTCCGGATCAAGACGCTGTCAATAATTTCTTGCTACGACAACTAGAGGCGCTACAGTAATTAAAAAGAAGCGGCCAAATACTAACTGGAACAGACTCTAGATAACTCTTTCCCATCCATGGATACTCTGGTGCACCATGCCTTTTTTGACATTGTGAGCTATAACTTTTCTCTCGGGGCCTCCCTTAGCTCAGTCGTTTAAGGCGCAGCTACAAAGCAAGACCATGCTGGAGGTGGCTAGGTTCGAATCCAGGTCCGGTCTAGGAATTCTTCGGGTTGGGAAATTTCTCGATTTCCCTGGGCATAAGAGTACCTATGATTGTATTTGCCACACAATTATACTAATGCAAAAATGGTACAAGCATCGAAAGCTCTCAATTAATAACTGGAAGTGCATCTAGAACACTAAGTTCCTTGACCTTTGGTTCACTTTAAAAGGTGCGTTTCATGTTTCATCACATGTAGTTCCAACGAAATGTGGCGCTTGCGAAGATCACTTGAAGATACAATATGACGGAACATTGATACTAATGGTATAAAACACAAGTAAATTCTTCCAGAAATAATTAAAGATAACATAATGAAAAATGTGTTAATTGTCAGTGAACAAATGTAATGTTGCATTGAAGTACTTTAAATGGTGTTAAATTTAAATGTTCCATCATTTCACATCCGTTGAACCATTCTGAACGGCCATCCCGTAGTGGTTATATCACATCATTGCTAATAATGTATATATCTATATCTTTTCCGGTACCATGGAGTGACAAAGTAAAAGTATAAGGAGAGCCGCAAAATGAAGCACATGGGATACGAAAATGGAATAATGCTCGTGTTACGGTTTTATAAGACGCAACTAGGAGCTCAAGATCATCATACTAAAAATGTGGTCGTCAATATATCGTGGATCACATCAGAAAAGGCATGGGAAACTTTCAGGAACTAGCAGTGATGCAGAGAAGGACAACGAGCTCACAAATAGACACGACAATTGGACAGAAGAGTGAAGAAACAGCGAAAGTTGGTGAGATCGTTTTAAATTATTGCTCATATTTATACAAACATTGCTTATACTAAATACGCGCCAGAATAAAAAAAAATGTTTTTTTTTATTCGGGAAGTGTAAATGCATTACATGTATCCAATTGATATATCAATGTGTTCAGGCGAGGCTTATTGTATATGAAGACGACCTTAGAATGTACGTGTAAGAACAGGCATTCTTGAAATGGGTCGTTGGATGTACAGTAGAGCTATCACCTTCCATCGCCAGGGCTAAAACTGTTTGCATCTATGTATAAAAATAGGTGCAAACAATTTTCTTGCATAAAAGCACTGCTGGCCAGTGGGAAATGGATTGTAGACAGACACACAAGTGCATCTAGAACACTAATAGCGAATTCGTTTATTATTCAGTTCCAACCTGGATCGGGTATCAAGATTGGGTCTGCTTGTTTTCTGACAAACGTCAGTTTGCTCGTTTGTTTTTAAAACCTAGCTCAGGTTGAGGTTCACACTGACAAAAAGTTCGGTTTCGCACTGGGTTGGAACTGGTGTTAACCCCGATAATAAACGAATTCGCTATAAGTTGAGAGCACGCAATAAGCTAATATGCGATTAGCAATAAGCTTAAAATGCGAAACAGAAAAAGAAGATATAAATTTCTGAAATTAAATCCGTTTTTTTGTAAAAATATTATAACATAATCTGTAGTAAAGGGTGTCCACGATGAAATTGCCACACTATGAAATTGCTCTAACTTTTTAACCGTTGGGTAGAATTTAATGAAAATTTGGGTGGATTTAGTTCATAGTGCATTATTTACATCCTGCAAGTTTTAAAGTCCTGTGATCAAAACTCGCGGAAATTGAGTCGAAAGAACAGCTCGTGCGTGATAAAATCTTGCGCATTCATCACGAGAACAAGGATCTCTCGCATCGTTCCATCGCTAAAACGTTGGGAATCGCGAATTCCACGGTGTCGCGAGTGATTAGCGGTTCGAGGAACGGTTGACCACCGATCGGAAGCCCAGAAGTGAAGGAAAAAGTATTCCGTACAACACCAAAAATCACAACCGCGTAGTTGGGGCCTTCAACCGAAATCCGAACGCCTCCGTTAGGGATGTGGCTAAGAAGCTGCACCTAAGCCGAAGTTTTGTCCAGAAGGCCAAAACTAAGGCTGGGCTTCGAACGTTCAAGGTACAAAAGGCCCCTAATCGCGACGAGAAGCAGAACAAGTCCGCCAAAACCCGTGCCAGGAAGTTGTACCTCAACATGCTGACGAAAGTTGAATGTTGCATCATGGACGACGAAACATATGTGAAGGCCGACTTCAAACAGATCCCCGGCAACCTGTTTTTCACGGCCAAGGATAAGTTCAGCGTTCCGGAGCATGTCCGCACTCAGAAGATGTCCAAATTTGCGAAGAAATTCCTGGTTTGGCAAGCCATCTGCACGTGCGGGAAGCGGAGTGCACCATTCGTGACCCAGGACACGATGAACGGACAGGTGTACATAAAAGAGTGCCTCCAGAAGCGGCTGCTTCCTCTCCTGAAGGCCCACAACGTCCCAACAATCTTCTGGCCGGATTTGGCCTCATGCCACTACTCCAAGGACGTGCTGAAGTGGTATGCGGACAATAAGGTCAATTTCGTGCCGAAAATGTTCAACCCTCCCAACACTCCGGAGCTCCGCCTCATCGAGAAGTACTGGGCGATTATGAAGCAGCACCTTCTTAAACGACCTAAGGTAGTGAAGACAGTCGAGGAACTGAAGAAAGTATGGGTTTACATGCAAAAACGGTTGATTCACAGGTTGTGCAGAATCTTATGGCCGGGGTTAAGGCCAAGGTGCGGGCATTTGCGTATGGACTGTAAATAAAATACGAGTAAAATGGTAAAATGAAGTTTAATAGTTATTTCTCAATCCCTGAAAATTTGATGGCAATCGGATGAAAACTCGAATTTTGCGAATCAATTTTGTGTGTGGCAATTTCATCGTGGACACCCTTTAGTTCTTCTATTATTGGAAGGCCAATATCTCAAGACATTCCAGAGATACTGATTTTTTAAATTAATTATGCCAAAATATACTGGGTTAATAAATCTAACAATATGGGATCTCAACTGTGGTGCCTCAACATTGATATATTTACTCAAATCCAGAAATTGAGGTTCGACTAGATTGCAACATTATACAAGTAGAACTCGATTATCCGCTGTCTGTTGATTTTTAAACTTCCATCGGTAATCTCTCGCAAATGACCATTCAATCACGCAAAAAACACCACAATTTGACAGAGACAAATCCCCAATCCATTTGTAATGTTGATTTGAATGATTGAGTTGTTGTTTATGAAAAATCGACGTTGGAATTGAAAAAAAAGCTAACTGTGAATAATCGAGTTCTAATGATATTCAAATTGTCCGGCAGTTAATTGAATTCCATTTAAAACAACATGTTCTATATTATTCTACTGATCTTCTTTCCAGACAAATACCTGATGCAACCGAAGGCCACCTCCTTTCGGATGTACTACGACCGCGGAGATCTCCCCATCAAAATGGAATACCTGACCGGTGGGGACAAAATTGCCTGGACCGTCGATATCGACAAGCTGGACTACGGCCTCTACCTTCCTCTGTTCTTTGACGGTCTCTCCGAAATACGCCACCCGTACAAAACGTACGCCCGGCAGGGCGTGCAGGACCTCCTGTCGCACGGCGGCGACAAAATCTACCCCGTTATACCGCAGCTAATTATACCGATCAAGAGTTAGTCACGTCCAATGAGCCAACTGTGCCTAGCCATTATAACGTGTTTCCCAAAACCTAATTGTAGATGCGCTAAACACACGCAACATGGAGGTCATGTGTGTTACATTGAAAATCATCCAACAACTGGTGATGGCATCGGATCTCATTGGGCCGGCCTTGGTGCCCTTCTACCGACAACTGCTGCCAATGTTCAATGCCTACAAAGTGAAAAATAGTGAGTAGCGTTATATCCCACTATATGGATTCATACAGAGACTAGCAGTAAGGATGATAGGGTTCGGTTAAGAAGCATGTAGCGTGCAAGTAGCATCCATATCCATTCATCGTTCGGGTTGGTGCCGCTTTTTCATTTGAAAAGTTTGCTTTTTGATGACCCTGATGTTTGTTGTGTCCTGAATGGCATTCACTCATTCCACTTACCAAGCTCTGTTTTCTAAAGCATGCCATCATTCAAAGAATCAACCGACAGTAATGCTGAATGCTTTCATGGTGTTGGAGATAGAAACACACGGTTTCGAACAGAGGGTGTGGGGGTTGATGAGTGAGCTAATAGCAGTGCTTTATGACTCCGGAAAAAATGTGAACAATTACTTGCTATCTTGTTACCATAGTAGGGTGATTGCTGCTATTACTTGGAACAATTAAGTTAGGCTCACTTTAGAAGTGTAGCATATTTCGATCATTTCCAATCTTCTTATTGACCGGAAACTCCCCATCCGTCTTGAGGATTGCAACGATTTTTGCCTGAAATCATTAATTATTTTGTTGCACATTTGCAGTGGCGTCCCGTAACCTCACTTTTTACCTGTGCTCCAACTTTCAAAACCAGATTTAAAGCTATATTCATACTCGAATTGGTTGAAAAATACACTTAATCTTCTAGTCTACTCGATATCTATGTATTGCAAGCAATATTTTGATAATTGTTTATGTTTTGAGAGTTGGTGTACAGGTAGATTGAGGTTAAGGAAACGCCACTGCGACATTTTTGTTCTAAAGTCTCAACATTCGGAATTCTATGTACCTCGGTAGTACTGTACCAGGGAGGCAACTTCAAAATCATCTTCAGAACTTTATTCTGCATCCTTTGAAGTGCTTTTTTCCTGGTAGTGCAACAACTAGACCATATTGGCACAGCGTATAGCATGGCCGGGCCTCGTAACGTGGGTAGATCACATTTTCGTGGTACGTTACGGGATGTACCACCACCGATGATCTAGTTCTTGTTACTTTTTATGCCTTGTTGATAGTGTCCACCGAAGATGATCTTGAAACAAGGAAAAAATGAGTTAGTTAGTCGTCATCTATGTGATTCCTAATCTTCTATTCGTTGACATCTAGTTAGTTCCCTAGTGGTTAAGACTAGGGTTCTGATGCATGGTCATTATCGGTGTCATTGTTTAATTTTGTTGCTAAGGAATCCAATTTTGAATGACAAAGGGTCGCGCCTTTGGAGGGTGTTTCAACACTCCGAAGGGTATAAATAGCGGGACCTTTCAATTAGGGTCGGATCCTTGCGATAAATGCAAGAAGGGCAGCTGTAAAAAAATCGAATACTTCATCATTTCTCAATAGTGGACATGCACTAAACTAAGGACAAACATTTTATATATTTGTTACATTTGGCTTGAATGCCCTTAATGTGATCTTTAAAAGTTAATGTTTGGTCAAGTACTAATCTAAGATATTTCACTTGACTTGACCAAGAAATTGAAACTCCGTTCATAGTGACTATGTGGCTACTACTAGGTTTCAAAAAAAGTAACCTCCAGGCTTATGTGGGAATATTATAAGTTGAGTTTTGGAAGCGTTGGGAGAAATCTTCCATTATTTTTTTAAATTAGAAGAGAAAATATCTAGGGTCGGGTGGGGCAAGAGTGCTACCCCCTATAATTTTGAAAATAAACATGTTTTCAATGTATTACAACAATTGCAATAAATCATTTTGCGCTGATTTGTCTAAAAATGAAATTACTTTTAATGATTAGGCATCATCATAAAATAAGGATTTTGGAATTTCCAAACATTGTTTCCTACAATTCCTGCAATGAGGCATTACTAATAATGACACTGTGCAATAAGATTTTCTAGGACTGAGGAAATTCACTTTATTTGACTTTCTCGTGGACCCTTGAGTAAAAGTCTCGAACAAACTTATACCCTAACACGTCCTATTTTTTTGGTACCGCCCTCTTTATGTATATTCTTTGGTATGTTGTCCCGATGTCGGTTGTATACTGCCTAACTAAAGCATGTAAAGACATTGCCGTCCAAGAGTTTTTTGTATGAAATGACTTGAGAAACATTTTTTTAGAACATTTAAAAACGATATCTCGTTGTCTTACCCCTCGTTTGGGTGATTTTTCAAACCCCCAAAAAATCTAGAATTAATGTAAATTCACTGTAAAAAACCATAGTATGTGCTTGAATGTTGAGATTTCAATAAAGTAGGTAATAATCAGAACTTGTTTGTCCATAATTAGTCCATCTTGTCCTATAGTGCAATAGATGGTATTTTTTGATCCCTAATACATATCAACAAATAAAAAATACAAAAAATCCTTTTTTGAGAAAAATTGTTTTTAAGATTTTATTTGAAATTTAAAAAAAATTGGGTAATTTTTTTTAGAGTGCATATTTTTTTTCAAATGGCCTTATCCATTATCTGCAATATTGCCCAAGACACCACAACGATCGGGCAAACAGTTTTCGAGTAAAAAATTTCTGACGATAAGCTTGATATTTTTCTATAGGCCTTTTTCAAAAATAAGGCTGGATTCAAATTGGCGATATGAAGATGCAAAATGGCATAGTTGGTCGTAAGGAACGTTTCTGCAAATTTTCAACCAAATCAAAAAACACAAAAATAACCGATTTGCGAATTGCTCCATGATCACTATAAAAAATATTTTTGCACGTGAATTTTCTTTAAAAAATTGAAAAAATGCGATTTTTTAGTTTTTGGCTCTTTTTCTAATATTTTGAGAAAAATCAAAACGTCATTATTTTTTTGGAGCGGTGAACTTCCTTTTACGAAACGTTTCAGTTATAACGATAATATGCATAATATGCATTATCTTTAATAGATCGAGCATACCAATTCAAAATATTTAATGATTTAAAATCCATTACTGAATTTCAAAGTCATGACGATATTGTTCGCAAATTTTACTGCAGTTTGAATAGCATCAAACATGGAGTTCGTTTCTAGCATATAAGTAATCATGTCGATTAATGATGTCTGTAAAAATTCCATTTTAGCAGCAGTAGTGCTACCTCAAAATCAAAATTAGTTTCGTTAGAATTATGTTGGCTAGAATTTTGATTTCGATTTCTACCATGTGCAATAGCAACTAGCTGAACATTGTTAGCAGCAGGTACAGATGAAGAATTTGAAGCAGGGAAAGTGTTTGTACCTACGTGTACGAATGTAGAATTTGTTCCTCGCTAATCGTTGTTAACGTTTCCTATCTGTCGCTTAAAACAAGATCGTAGGATCGCTTTGCGAGTCTTAAATTCCCAACAATTGGATTTTTCAGAGTTGGTTGGAAATGCTATCTAACATGAAGCTTTAGTGTGATAATTTATTAGTTAGAGAATGTTTGAGAATTGAATAGAAGTTGAAAATGAGCGAAGGGCCATTAATGCGACAGTACAAAGTCAAACTTTTTTGCCTGTAGATTTGAAGACATGCATCAAATCTCCGCGTACATCGTACGGGTTAGGCAAAAGGTGTGCGTTTGACTTTGTACTGTCGCATTAATGGCCCTTCGCTCATTTTCAACTTCTATTCAATTTTCATACTGCCGTCCTCTAACGGAACTATCCACGTACCCTCTTCTAAGACCATTCTCTAGCTAATAAATTATCACACTAAAGCTTCATGTTAGATAGCATATCCAACCAACTCTGAAAATCGCAAACCTCGTGTATGAAGTAACATAAAAACACTTTGAATTGGATTTGTGTTTTTCACACAATCTGAACATTTTTTTTGAGGATCTTCCTTCACAGGACAGTCCATCCTTTGCGTAAGAGAAATCACCACAATTCATGCATTTAGCTGGCATGTAGCAATTTTTGGTCTCGTGACCCCATCTTTGGCCTTTACGGCACTGGGTGAAGATTTGGAAATTTCCTCCAGTCTTCCTGAAATGTTTCCACCTCACTCGGACATGGAGCATAAAGCTTGCTTTTGCTAAGACCTTAAGGTTGTTTAGTTCACTAGACGTGAAGTGAACTAAATAAAAATCATTAGAAATCCCGTAGCGTGAATCGCCAGGACGGGATTTCATTTTCCTTTTGATTACATGGACAGGCTCAATTAATCTTTTATCTGATCCAGGTATTCACCCCTGGGCAGACCTTTTAAGACAACCTTGAGAACAGACGTTCACTGCCTATAATCGCATATAAGTCCCATGAGGATTATCGTCAATTTTGAGATAACACAACGGAATTAAAAGGAAATAAACCAATACACTCCACAGTGTTGCTTTTTGGCGTTTTCGTGCGGTTTTTTAGTAGCTTCTCAAACATTGATTCTAGGGGTACAGTTTTTTAAAAAATGTTTTTGCATCTCCTTCAAATCATTCTTAACTAGTACAACTTTTTTCCTAGTTTTTCAATATTTTTAACATATTGTACAAAGTTGTTTGCCGTACAAAAATACATATTTTTGCTGAACATTGTAAAATGCTATATCTTAAAATTAAAACATGTATTCAAAAATTAGACATTTGCAGGACGTTTTTTAGTTATTAAAAAACACCTAAAAAATCGCGTGCTGCCACATGTTTTTATAACTTTTCTGCAATAAAATAAGTATAGATTCAGAATCCTAATCCTTCCTAGAATTTTGCGCCAATTTGCGCCGGAAATAGTTATTTGAGGAGCAAATACCCCTGAAAATATCGATTATTTAAAAATAACTTTTTTGTTTCAAAACATAATTAGTTACAATGTTGAGCAAAAGCATGTGTTTAAACATGCAAAATATAGTTGTAGAAGAAACCAAAATTGTAGGATGCCTAGAAAATGTGTTATTTAAAAAAAAACATGATTTAAAGGGGCCTTTCACGAAAAATGATACATATCTCGCAACTTATAAGAGCTAGAAATTTGAGGTGTTCAGCAAAGTTAAAATAACATATGCTACACCTTTATTGAAGACGTTAAGTCTCCATCTGAATCAGATAAAAATATATTTATTTGATCTCACTTTTAGGTAGATTAATCACCAAACCGTGTACATCAAAAGAAGAATATTAACATATGCAAAAACATCTTTAAACAAACTGTACCCCTAAAATCAATGTTTGAGAAGCTATTAAAAAGCGCACGAAAACGGCAAAAAGCAACACTGTGCACTCGAAGCTCTTCATAAAGGGATTCCGTTAAGAGGTTCGACAAATTTAAAAGATTGAAAAAATGTCAATTGATTTACTTTGATTTTTCAAATATTTACATGGGAATTGCACTTCGTAGCTTCGACTCGATTGTGCTACATTTCTCCGAATGTCGTTTCCCCGAATGTCACTTCCCCCGAACGCCATTTCCCCGAATGCCATGTCGCCGGAAAAAAAAGTTAGTGTTCGTGCAGGTGACTACTACTGCCTCTACCCTTAACATAAAATAGGTACTGTGCCTACCCATAGATGTCACCACTTGTCTCCGTATCATTGTTATAGCTTATTATGTACTGTTCTTGTTATGTTACAGTAAATAAACATCTGTAGTACTTTTCCCTCCGCCATGGCAGGACGGCCAGTAAAACGGTCGTAAATCATTATTTTCAACTATCAACAAGTTAGGAAATTTCCAACCCTTATTCCTGGCAATTTTCTTACTATATTTTAAGCATAGTGAGCAGATTGCAACCCAGCTTAAATTTCAAACGATGCAAATGAGATTATGAGATTAACCCAACTACCAATTAATTTGCTTCGAGTAGCTTGAAACCTATTGCCTAAGCACAGGATGCTTCTATGTCCCTCCTTTCCCTATATTAATGTATTGAGCCGTTAAAAGCATTATAATTTTTATTTATAGAATAATAATCCAAAACCAGTATGCTTGTTTTCAGTTCATTTATTATTCATCATTATTTGATTTGTTTCTTGGAACACCGTTGAGATATTCATACATTTGATGTACAACACAACATGAAAAATGTTTGTGTTGTATATTTTCCTGTTGATAGTACTGATACAAACCTTCTATTTCCTTTTCATACTTCACGAAACTAGGTCCTTTAATTCGAACAATGAACTTGAGCCAGCTTGTTGGATGGGTCTCTCCATCCATTCACGTATAGAAATGTGGTTAATTTTAGACGCTCATTATAGCACAATGTTTTTGATGTCATTATCTTTTCAATAAACTGGGGCCAATACCAGCGCAACACCCCCCACCAAATATTTGTTTCTCATTTCGCCTCCACAAACGATAATTTAATAAAAATGTTATTAAACATTATTTTTCGGTTTAACTTTTTGTCCACAGAAGGTGGCACTATGCTGTCAGTGGTTGTGAGTGTAAAACACACTGCATTCCTCGATTCATTTGTCAAATCATATATCTTACAAGTTTTGCCAAATTCCTTGATTTGAATTTTTAAAAGAAAAAATCTCGTAAAACTATGTTATCAATTTTTAAATCCATCGACTTCACATATTGTCTAAGTTCTCGGAAAAATTGCTCGTTTGTAAAAGAAGGAAAAATTTCCTCAAAATACATTACCAATTTGTCAAACCTTCAATCACACAAGTTTTGAGAAAGTTATCGAAAAAAAAAACATTTATAAAAACAGAAGAAAATTGGAAATCTCCTAAATAAATTTAAAAAGAAGGGAAAATCTCCTAAAAATATATTAGCAATCTGTCAAATCATTGATCTTAGTTTTGCCAAAGTTCTCGAAAGAGCTGCTCATGTATAAAAGAAGGGAAAATCTCCTAAAATATATATAACCAATTTTTACACTTCCACTTCTGGTACTCTCGCCCCATTGATTTACTTTGAACATAGATTTTCCCTTCTTTTAATCATGAGCTGTTCTTTTAAGGTTAATTGTTGCAATATTCAAATAAGTGCTCGCGAAACCAATCTAAGAAATGTTAAAATTGGAAATGGAAATTACATTCGGGGAAATGGAGTATATGTTTGTATGGGATTCGGGGATATGGGCATTCGGTGAAATGGCGTTCGGGGGAAACGAAATTCGGAGAAGTGACATTCGGGGAAATGTAGCACAATCCTTCGACTCCCATTTTCTCAATGCCTGCTTTTTCCATATGGGACAGATATGCAATTATAGGCAATATAGTTGTCACTGTCTTATAAAGAGTTAAATATGAATGGTATGCATTTCATGCTTTGTTGTTAGGTGAAAACTCATTAAATTCACCCTTTTGGCTTGTCGCCCTTGGTGGGGGCCGTTTTCGCCACCCACTAACTACATCCCTGAAAACATGTCTCAACGTTTAATGTTGATGGCATTTTTCGTGTCGATAATTATTACAACATGTTATTAGGACTCTAGTACAAACAAGATATAACTCAATGTTACAGTATTGATATTTATTGTTCGATGTTTGCCAATATGGAATTATGATCGGTATTAATTAGCACTGCTGGGACACCATGTATCTTTAATGTAATCCCCCATAAGCCATTCAGTCATCGTCACCATCGTCGTCTTCATCGTAGGTGGATCAAAATGCATGAAGATGGGATTACCCTCCCACTAACCGATCCAACAGCCATCGGCCACGTATTTTGAGTACGTGACATTGTTTGAGTTTACCTAAGCTTTCCTTCCATCCAATCATCATCAAAACTGGAGCGAACAGGAAAATGGGATCAGATAATTTATGCACGACAGAACCAACATGACCGGCAGAATCAATTTCTAGGATTTAGGTCTCTTTGTTGGATGCTGAGACATTTCATCTATTATCATCTTGGTCTTGGTTTGATTGCAGTAAATTCCGGCGACGCCATCGACTACGGTCAGAAGAACAACATGAACGTGGGCGACCTGATCGACGAGACGCTGCAGGTGTTGGAGCGCCACGGCGGCGAGGATGCCTTCATCAACATAAAGTACATGGTTCCGACGTACGAGTCGTGCTATCTGAATTAGACCTTCGGATACGTTGAATTGTTGGAAGTGAGTACCTATCGCACCTAGATGGAAACGTAAGACGGTGATGATTTATTTCTTCTACGTGAGTTAGATACTTATATGTGGGAATAATTTGCGGTTGGCGTGGGTATTTATTTGCAGATCATACGATGTTGCTGCTGTTGTTTCGGTTGCTTCGTAATATCGCACCGGTGCTGATGGAAGAGACGATAAAGATGTGGATAGTGAAATGTAGCTATTGAAGGATATTAGGAGATATTACCACGCAATTATTAGAAAAGTGCCAAACTAGTCAAGTAAAAAGTTGCTTACCGGAATAGCGGTACGAGAATAGATGTGCAATTTCGGACAACGAACTTATTTTCTAAAAAAACATATGATAGAAATCCTGATATACGTTTTATACAATTTTCCATCTTTCAAGGTTTGGCGAAAATTGGTTGATAAGAAGGGTCAAACTGGTTTAGATGCAATACTTTTAATCGATACATTATCTAATACAGCTGCACAAACCTGAGATCAGAGATCGAGGTGTACTATGTTTGAGATTATTTTATGTTCCTAAACATATATATGTTCCTAACTGCTAAGTTACCACTGATATATTGGTTTATGCTTGTTTATTATTCACGCACATATCTAGATACATTTATACAATTCGCTATTTGAAGAAGCCATCCTTGAAACATGGGAAAATTGCTTTTGCAAAACAAATAACAATTTTAGATAATTCAACAAGGGTTCACTTATCACTAATCACGATATAGATCTCAATAGCAATATGTTATTCATAGATTAAACAAATCTCACTACCTTTTTGTTACGGTTACCTACTCAACAATAGGAAATTTCTCAACTTTCTACTAGTCAAAACCCAAGGTATCATTCAAAGTATATTTCAAAATAAATAAATTTTTTTCGCTTAGCTCTCTGAATACTTTTCTTCCAGTTTAGTTACATACATTGATTTATCATTTATCATTGATGACACACCGCTTAGAGCAGATTGATTGAACTGAGCCCCCTCTTTTTGCAGAAAGCTGTGATTGCTTCCGTAAAATTATACATATTTTTTTGTTTGGTTTTAATCATCATCACATTTTGATATTACATCATGAGAGAAGACAATGTAATTTCCAAATTAATCTCTGTCACGCGTTCTCTAACACCTACAATCTACTTGGTCGACTATCCTTTTTTGATGAACTACCGTGGAGGCACCATATTCGAAGCGGGTCCTAAATCGACGCACTCAATAAGGTTCGACTATTTCCAATCTTTATTTTTGTTTTGCACCAATGTTTAAAAAAATATCTTATCAAAATTGGAATGCGATCAAAAATAGACTAGTGCATCATCATTAGGAACGCGTCAAATATGGTGCTGGCACGGTAAAAAAAATCGGAATTATCATTGTTTTAGATGAAAAACGTAACGCGAGTATTTTTTCCTACGTTTATTTTTTTTTTATTTTTGTTGGGTTATTTTATTCTTGGTGTACACTGTGGAAATTGCGTGCTGATATTGTGTCAACGTTTTCTCTATATAGTGTGGTGCGGTGTGTGGGAGAAAAGCGTGCTGGATGTTGCTTTTCTGTGGTACAGCAGTTTCACGTTTCAATTGAAATTACTAATTAAATGACACTGGTCGAAAAAAAGGTAATTTTAAGTCAAAAGTCATTTTTGTGTTGCCTGTCAGAGATTTGTATAAAATATTTTGAAAGATAAATCCTGATTAATGTGGGCGTCTATGGTTGAACACCCGTATAAAGAAAACGAGAAGGATTAGAAATTTCAATTTAATTCCACTGCCCTTAATTGCTTACGCTTGACAAATATATGTATGTTGTGTTACCTATAATGTGCATACTTCTTCAGTGTCTTCTACTAAATTCAAGTTTTAGTACAAGCCACTGAAGAAGTCTGCACGTTGTAGACGAAATACGCGAATCTGTCAAGCATAGACGTCAACATTGCTGCACAAACCTTTTCTCACGGCTTGGCATGTCATTGTCACATTTCCAAAAAGATCATCCATGTCGACGCTCGCGTCCCGTGGATGAAGAAAATCTTTGCTCGTTGAAAAGAACTAAGAAGGCTGCTCTCAGAAGATTTACTAAATTCCTCACACTGCCACTGAAATTCTACTATGCCAGGCTCAACCACGAGTATAAACGGTTAAGCTGGGTTTAGATAGGGCAAGTCAAATGATCAACTCAGTTGAATTCAATTGGCTTGCAAAGTTGAGCCTGGTTCAACTTTTTTCAATTCAAGTGAGTTGATCAAGTCAGTTGAATGGCATGGTTTACACGTTCAATTCGCGTTCAAGTCAGTTGAATTCAACTGACTTGATCAATTGACTTGCCCTGTTTAAACCCAGCTTTAAGTCGTCTCTGTTTTCAACGCTAAATAAACAAATGAGTCACGCGACGTCTCTGAATGGATTATATTTTATAGTCTGTTTCGCATCATTGAAATACACAACTTTGCTTACACATTTTTGACATTTTTGGAGTGTTGGACGCGGATTTTACAAAAGCTCTGACAGGCAACTAAGACGTCTCAATCTGTTCGGGAAATATCGCGGAAAGTTTTGCAAAATTTATTGGATGTTCACCAAGTGTCAAACGATTATCATAAATTTTGAATTCAAATTTTCGTGCGGAAACTCGTTTATTCTGCTCAATGTTAGGACACTGTAAAGAAGAAAACAAAAACAGAAAGCAACTTCCATTGACTTTGGCTCCTTGTTTACACATCAATCATTTCTCGTCTCTATTTTTTAAAACCACCGAAGCGATGTCGAAGGGTTGGGGTGACCAACAATTAACTGTTTCCAATTAATTTTGATTACTGAGTTGTCTAACTACCGTCCGGTTGTGGATCCACATTTAATGACTGAAAGCTTTTTTGTTCCATTCCTGTAAGTTATGATATCGTTCGGTTTATTTGACGCGATCTATTTGATTGGAAGGGGGGTTTTTTTCTCCAATGGATGATTGCTGTTTATGTTAGGAAAGGAGCAATAAGAGCGCGAAGGTTGGTTTGACCTAAATTTTAACCACTGATGAATCCCCTCGACTCGCGGGGAATAATTGCTTTTTTACTATTCTTATTTTTAGACAAAGGAATCGTCGAGGATTTTCGAACCTACCCGCCAGCTTAGCCTTGAAAGCTGTGTACATGGGACATGTTGAAGCCGGCTTGCTCCAGATGTTGACAGCTCAGCTCGTTGAATGGTTTGGGCCCGCAGAGACAGACGAATGTTGCCGACAGCGGTGAATCCACGTTGGTCAGCTGTTGAGCGACGGCCAGTGAAATTCGACCACGCTCGAGCGCCGCCGCTGCTGAGGACGAAGGACGGCTATCTGCCTCCGTGATCGTCGTTGAGGATGCTGCGGGTGTTGCTGGGGGTGACGACGATGATGATGCCGGTCGGGACGTGTTGGGCGAACCGGTGGCGCTTTGCGATTCAGCCTCAGAAAGGAAGTGCTTCACCGTAAGTCTGCTGGGTCGTCCGATGATTAGGCCGTAGGTGTGGGATAGAAAGATAAAAGGAAATACGTAGATTATTACCCTGCGGCTTTCTGGGGAAAGGTGTTCATAATCAATTAACAGGTGTATGTAGGTAATCGACTGTTCATGCGAGGAAAAGCAATTGCTTCGAAAATATCATCAGCCTCTACAGGCTATTTCAAAACTACCCAAATTTGGGTAGAATCCACACAGATCGGTCATAATTGAACCTACCCAAAAATGGGTAGACTAAGCTGACATGAATCCGATCAACGTCGCTCATTTGTCAACTTGTCACTCCCAACATAGTTTACCCATTTATGAGGTAGGTTCAGTTTTAACCGATATGGGTGGATCCTACATAAATTTCTGTAGTTTTGCAATAGCATGCAGTTCAATTTTGAACATGATGGAGGTGGATGGTGATTTGAACGTCTTTGCAGCCTTATAGCAACAATCAATCGAAACTAACGATTTTAAATTGGCTCACTACTTGACTAGCCTATTGGTCCCAAGCAAATCGAATAACGTACCCCATTCTAGTCAAAATTCTAGTACTACACAAAGTTTGTTTTGATTTGCTATGAAAGTTTAATTTTCCTATGATTCGAGGGGTGAATCGATTAGCTTGGGACCGAAGAGCGTACCAGAGCTGAACCAAAAAGTTGAACACGTTTCTTCGGTTATAACATGTTATAGCGCTATATTGATGGTGGTTTCTGTGTTGCAATTATTTGACAACCGTTATAACATGTTATAACTCTCCAGTCTGGACAGCGTTTTACTAGGATGTGTGCACATCCCGAGCAGAGATGAAAACAAGATTTGATATTGTGATATAAGCATTCTTGAAAACATGTTTTGACAACCGTGTGGTCGAGTTAACAGTAATTGTAATTGTTCAGTGCATATCCCGTACGGTTCACTAAGTTGACGTATCTATGAAACAACTCCCAGGTCTATGCATCGTATCGTCCTTGGAAATGCGTGTCTTTCGTTCTGTACTAACAGTCTCAATGTTCGAGTGACCAAGTATGGTGCTGACGCCGTCCCGCACGTTACTGTAGTAAGCTCGAAAATCACCAACGGAGCGGAAGGGTTGGATCTCCAGAAAACACGCAGGAACTTGGTATGTTCAAGGCTAACTGCAATCATCCTGAACATTTTCGAAACATCTCCAGTAAAAACGACGGGATAGATTCGAAACCAGACGCATATATCAACGAAAGGATCTTGTATGGTCGGTTTAGGGATAGACCAGAAGTAGACTTCGCAGATGCATCAAATACAGTGCGTAACTTCGTGATAGATGACGAAGGTTTCAGTATAGCAAAAAAGATTTAAGTAAACTAAAGGGTGTCCACGATGAAATTGCCACAAACAAAATTGATTCGCAAAATTCGAGTTTTCATCCGATTGCCATCAAATTTTCAGGGATTGAGAAATAACTATTAAACTTCATTTTACCATTTTACTCGTATTTTATTTACAGTCCATACGCAAATGCCCGCACCTTGGCCTTAACCCCGGCCATAAGATTCTGCACAACCTGTGAATCAACCGTTTTTTGCATGTAAACCCATATTTTCTTCAGTTCCTCGACTGTCTTCACTACCTTAGGTCGTTTAAGAAGGTGCTGCTTCATAATCGCCCAGTACTTCTCGATGGGGCGGAGCTCCGGAGTGTTGGGAGGGTTGAACATTTTCGGCACGAAATTGACCTTATTGTCCGCATACCACTTCAGCACGTCCTTGGAGTAGTGGCATGAGGCCAAATCCGGCCAGAAGATTGTTGGGACGTTGTGGGCCTTCAGGAGAGGAAGCAGCCGCTTCTGGAGGCACTCTTTTATGTAGACCTGTCCGTTCATCGTGTCCTGGGTCACGAAAGGTGCACTCCGCTTCCCGCACGTGCAGATGGCTTGCCAAACCAGGAATTTCTTCGCAAATTTGGACATCTTCTGAGTGCGGACATGCTCCGGAACGCTGAACTTATCCTTGGCCGTGAAAAACAGGTTGCCGGGGATCTGTTTGAAGTCGGCCTTCACATATGTTTCGTCGTCCATGATGCAGCATTCAACTTTCGTCAGCATGTTGAGGTACAACTTCCTGGCACGGGTTTTGGCGGACTTGTTCTGCTTCTCGTCGCGATTAGGGGCCTTTTGTACCTTGAACGTTCGAAGCCCAGCCTTAGTTTTGGCCTTCTGGACAAAACTTCGGCTTAGGTGCAGCTTCTTAGCCACATCCCTAACGGAGGCGTTCGGATTTCGGTTGAAGGCCCCAACTACGCGGTTATGATTTTTGTTGTTGTACGGAATACTTTTTCCTTCACTTCTGGGCTTCCGATCGGTGGTCAACCGTTCCTCGAACCGCTTAATCACTCGCGACACCGTGGAATTCGCGATTCCCAACGTTTTAGCGATGGAACGATGCGAGAGATCCTTGTTCTCGTGATGAATGCGCAAGATTTTATCACGCACGAGCTGTTCTTTCGACTCCATTTCCGCGAGTTTTGATCACAGGACTTTAAAACTTGCAGGATGTAAATAATGCACTATGAACTAAATCCACCCAAATTTTCATTAAATTCTACCCAACGGTTAAAAAGTTAGAGCAATTTCATAGTGTGGCAATTTCATCGTGGACACCCTTTAAAGGAGAAAAATCGATACACATATCCAATAAGGAAAATTCCCAAAGGCTTGGTAGCCATCATAATGAAGTAACGAAATTGATTTGTCAATTTGATGCTTTTTTTCAATTATATTCTAAATATTTTTAACAACAATTTAATAAACAAGTACTGAGAATCCTAGAGTCAATTCATTAGTAATACGTTTAACAGAAATTATTTCATTTGCTCTTTTTTTTTGTCTTGTGACCAAACATCAGTTTTTTTGTTTTGGGGTTACTTTGATAATACTCGAATAATGTTGAAAAAATATGCGTGAAACTCAAACAATCTAGTTCAAGAAACATGAAACTTTGAATAAGTATTTAATCAGAAACATCATAAGCAATAAGAAGACAGTGATGGTTATATCAGAAATACATTTGATAAGTGATTGTTTGAGTGCCGTTTCAAACAGACGAAAAACAAGAAATTTTTCTTCTTCAGATATTTGGAAATATGTAACACATAGGGGAAATGGATGTAAAGTCGGCCTAAATGGCCCTAATTTGGGCCCATATCTGAATACAGCAATCGACTAAATTTTCAATAACGACCAAAAATATCCATTAGTACCTTCCCAATCTATTCGCATTCATCTAGATAAAATTGATAAATAGCAGATTTTTAGCGATGGGTCCAATCTTAGATCCATAGGCCAACATTAGAGCCATTTCCCCTACTATATGGAAACGCTATACGTTATCAAAGGTAATACCTTACCTTACCAATCAGACTAAGGCCTTGTTGTCCTCTGCTGTCCGAAGAAGTCGGCTCCACTCTACTCGATCCATGGCCACACTTCGCCAGCCTCGTAGTCTGGGAAGGGTCCGCAGGTCACCTTCTACTTGGTCGATCCACCTTGCCCGCTGCGCGCCTCTTCTTCTTGTTCCTGTTGGGTCGCTTTCTAGAACCATTTTCACTGGGTCGTCGTGCGGCATTCGGTGCGGTAGTCGCCCAATTTTTGCAATGCAGCTGGTGCAATTCGTGGTTCATTCGCCTCCTCCACGTTCCGTCATCCATCTGCACTCCACCGTAGATGGTACGCAACACCTTCCGTTCGAAAACACCAAGGGCGCGTTGGTCCTCCACGAGCATAGTTCAGGTCTCGTGGCCGTAGAGGACCACCGGTCCAATCAGCGTCTTGTAGACAGTCAACTTCGTACGGCGGCGAAATTTATTCGACCGGAGCGTCCTCCGGAGTCCAAAGTAGGCACGATTCCCTGCCATAATGCGTCTTTGAATTTCTCTGCTGGTATCATTTTCGGCGGTCACCAGTGAGCCCAAATACACGAACTCATGGACCACCTCGATTTCGTCACCGTCAATCTGAACGCGGGGTGGGCGGCTAACATTGTCTAGAACCTCTTCCTTTCATGTATTTTGTCTTTGATGCGTTAATGGCAAGTCCAATCCGCCTAGCTTCAGCCTTCAGTCTGATGTACGTTTCCGCCATCGTCTCAAAGTTCCGTGCCATAATGTCAATGTCATCGGCGAAGCCTAGAAGCTGGATGGAATTTCTGAAGATCGTGCCACTCGTGTCTATCCCAGCTCTTCTGATCACACCTTCTAACGCGATGTTGAACAGCAGACACGAAAGTCCATCACCCTGCCGTAACCCCCTTCGAGATTCAAAGGGACTCGAGAGTATCCCCGATACTTGAACAACGCACTTCACTCGATCCATCGTCGCCTTGACCAATCGTTTATCCGGAAATCCGTACTCGTGCATAATCTGCCATAGCTGATCTCGATCGATTGTGTCGTATGCGGATTTGAAATCGATGAACAAATGATGTGTGGACACGTTGTATTCGCGGCATTTCTGCAGAACCTGCCCAATCGCAAAAATTTGGTCCGTGGTAGCGCGGGCACCCATGAATCCCATGAATTCCCGCCCCACGAACTCTCTTGCAAATGGTGACAGGCGGCGGCATAGAATTTGGGAGAGTACCTTGTAGGCGGCGCTCAGCAGTGTGATCGCGCGGTAGTTGCAGCAATCCAACTTGTCGCCCTTTTTGTAGATTAGGCAGACGACACCTTCCATCCACTCCTGATTCACCACCGTATTATAATAGCTCACTTGGTAGTTGATCTACACCAGTTGCTTTGTTGTTCTTCAACCGACCGATCTCCTCCTCAACTTCTTGAAGAGCAGGGGCCGGTAGCTTGTCGTCTTCTGCGCGTGCTCCAAGGTATGTTGCTGTGTCACCTTCGTTTTCTGCTGCTTCACCGTTGAGGTGCTCGTCATAGTACTGCTTCCACCTCTCAATCACCTCACACTCGTTCGTGAGAAGGTTATCGTCCAAGTCCTTGCATATATCG